ACTTAGTAATAACAACTTTTATCCCTTCTTCCCATTGCTCTGTTGCGTCTGGTTTATTCAGCAGTTTGTCCTGATAATGTTTGAAAATATTTCTGGAATCTCTATACTATTCCATTCAACTGATTGGTTTATCAGACTCCCAGCATGTCAGAAAGACTCTGGAGGCCTAACTTTCAACTTGAGTTCTAGACCTGTCATCTTTCTAACACTAGCTCATCCCCATATCGCCACTTCAGTTGTTATGAGATTGGAAAGGGGGGCTATGATAGATTGAATAATGACCCCCCGCCAAAGATGTCTATGTTCTAACTCCTGGGAGTTCTAGTGTGGCGCTGTTGGTTATTACGCTAGACTGCAAAGTTGGTTTGAACTGCCAAGTCAGCAGTTCAAGCTCATTAGCTGCTTCTCAAAAACTCTACACAGGGTCACTATGGGTAGGAAATGATTCGACGGCACTTAACAACAAAGATCTATATGTTTCCTTAGATGGTAAGGGGATTTTGCAGATGTAATCACTAAGCATCTTGAAATGGGAAGATTATCCTGGATTATCTGGATACTGTTGTTGTTGTTAGGTGCCATTGAGTTGGTACGGACCCATAGCAGCCCTGTGCACAACACAATGAAACACTGCGTGGGCTGCACCAACCTCACAATCGTCACTACGCTTGAGCCCACTGCTGCTGCCATTGTGCCCATCTATTCGTTGGAGGTCTTCCTCATTGTCTCAGACCCTCCACTTTACCAAGCATGTCTTTCTCCAAGGACTGGTTCTTCCTGATAACATGTCCAAAGTATGAGAGATGAAGTCTGGCCATCCTGGCTTCCAAGAAGCATTCTGACAGTACTTCTTCCAACAGACTGGTTTGCTCTTTTGGGAGTCCACGGTACTTTTAATATTCTCCTCCAACACCATAACTCAAATGCATCCATTATTTCTATGGTCTTCCTCATTCACTGTCCAACTTTCGTATGCATATGAGGCTATTGAAAATACCATGGCTTGGGTCAGTTGCACCTCAGTCCTCAAACTGACAACTTTGCTCTTGAACACTTTAAAGAGGTCTTGTGCATCAGCAGATTTGCCTAATGCAGTATGTTGTTTGATTTCTTGACTGCTGCTTCTGTGAGTGTTGATGGTTGATCCGAGCAAAATGAGGTCTTTGACATCTTTAATCTTCTCTCTACCTATCATTAATATTGCATGCGAGTAAAATTTTATTAAAGATCATTTTAAAATGGCTGCAACAGTAAACTGACAGAGACTACTAGAGGTTCAAACCAGATTCAGACAAGGACGTAGAATGAGGGATATCATTGATGATGTCAGATGGATCTTGGCTGGAAGCAGAGAATTTCAGAAAGATGTTTACCTGTGCTTTATTGACTTTGCAAAGAGTTTCGATTGTGTGGATCATGACAAGCTATGGACAACATTGCAAAGTATGAGTATTCCAGAACACTTAATTTACATAGACCAAGAGGCAGTCATTCTAACAGAACAAGGGAACACACTGCTTTAAAGTTAGGAAAGGTGTGTGCCAGGGTTGTATTCTTTCACCATACTTATTCAATCTGTATGCTGAGCACATAATCCGAGAAGCCAGATCATATGAAGAAGAACATGGCATCAAGATTGGAGGAAAACTCATTAACAACTTGCTATGTGCAGATGATACAACTTTGCTTGCTGAAAGTGAAGAGGACTTAAAATACTGATGAAGATCAAAGACCACAGTCTTCAGAATGGGTTGTATCTCAATGTAAAGAAAACAAAACAAAACAAAGTCTGGATGTGTCCAATATAATCACAAGGATCTTTGTAAATCAGGGAAAGGAGAGTCAGAGAGAAAGGAGATGTGACAATGGGAATAGAGATTGGATTGATGCACTCTGGAGATGGAAGGAGGAAACCACCAACCAAGGAATGCAGGTAGCATCAAGAAAGTGAGAAAGCATCAAGCTTCCAGAAAGGCAATCAGCCCAATAGCCTCATTTTAAACTTCTGACCTCCAGAACTGTGAAATGACTTTGTATTATTTTAAATCACTAAGTCTGTAGTCATTTGTTACCACAGCAACAGGAAACAAATAGAGGTGGACTCAGAATTTCATTGAACACTGTGCAAAATTTGTACTCCTAGACTCACATAGTAGGGTCTGAGGTGGCCAGAAACCAGTGATACTTTGTTTTTGCTGTTGGTCCTCCCTCACCCTCATACTCCCCACACACAGGTTCTGACCCATCCTGTGGGGGCTCTTTTCTAGGCCTTGACCTACCCAGCCTGATCTCTACTACCCCTAGTATCCCCTTCCATTTGCCCACCTTTCGTTGTCCTCTAGGATTCAGACTTCAGATGACCATGGTTGAGAATAGAACTGAGCTCCACAGTTTTCAAGCTGTGATCTTTTGGAAGCCTGTCTTCTAAGGTGCCCCTGGTGAGTTTGAACCTTCAATCTTGCAGTTAGTAGTTGAGCATTTAACAGCTTGTGCTACTCAGGGAGTCCATGGATTTGATGAGCTATTCTAAAATACTGGTGTGAACCCCATCTGCTTGGGACTCGGGTTATCAGAATTAAGTAGAAATTCAGGGAGTAAATTAAATTGAAACCTGAAAGAACAATGAAAACCTTTTTAAGGATTGAGGTGTTTTATCTGCCAGCATCAGGCCAAATTTCTTTTGCCTGTGTGTAAGAGAGAGACAGAGAAATAGAGAGGGAGAACCAAATGGAAATCTAGGAACATTGAGCCGGCACCTTAAGCTTCAGAAAGTATAACTGGTAACACAGTGGTTAAGTACTTGCCTGATAACCTAAAGGTAAGAGTGTTCCAATCCCTCAGCTTGCTCCCCGCTGTTTCACTCTATGGGGCAGCTATGAGTGGGAATCCACTCACTTGGGTATAAACTTCAAAACACCTGCTCAGTGACTAAGTCCTGGAGCTTGGATAGAAATTTCCGGGCTCTTTTGTCCAAGCCTAGCTGGCTAGACACTGAGACAGTAGAGACTATGGTAAAAGCATGGTGTCTAGGAGATCCAGGTTTGAATCCTGATTCCGCCAACCACATTCCTAGTGTCCTACTTTCTCCAACAAGCCCGTTTAGTGGGTGAGCACTTCAATCCAGTGATAGGGAGGGTCATCCTTTGCCCTAACCAGGGCAATTTCTGTGGCCAGCGAAGGAAGGATACTAAACGCTGAAGTGTCTGATCAAACAAGACGGGGTACCATTAAGAAAGTGGGTTTTTCTACTACTCTCTCCCACAATAATAAACTATTTTTTAAGTTAAAAGTTTACTTTAAAAACAATTATTCGTGATCATTTTATTTTGCATTCCGTTCTGTTTCTAGCTGGGCGCTTAACTCTGGCGGGGTGGGGGTGGGGGTCCCCAGGTGGCTGCTGGGAAGCGCCCTCCCAGGCCCAGGGGGGCTGGGCTGGGCTAGAAAGTGTGTGTGTGTGTGTGTGTGTGTGTGTGTGTGTGTCCAACTCGGGACACACGGGACAGGCCAAGCTCCACGTGTGGGCAGCAAGGGGTTGGGAAGAGGAGACTCCGGGACAGTTCCTGGGGTGGGGGTACAGGGTTACTGGCCCAGCCCCCATTTCTCTAGGGAGAGGGAGGGGACCACCCAAGGCGCCGAGGCTCGCCCGCCCCGCCCAGACCGCTGGGTCTCCAGCTCCACTCCCGCCAGCCCAGCGAGGCTGCGCTCTGCTTTTCCAGCTAAAGACCCAGGAGGGGCGAGGGAACCTAGCCAGGGGTGGAAGAGATGAACCCCAACTCCAACTTCCGGGCAGCTCCTTACAGCCAAGAAAACCTGATGGGGCAGTTCCACTGGAAGGCAACACATACCACTACCCCCACCCAGTCCTGAAAGTTTTGGGTGGCAGATTTACTTTAATTTGAAAAAAAAAATTAACAGCAGTTTGGGGAATACTACTGGACCTGATTTAAACTGGAGAAGGCTGGGTTGGAGGAGGGGAGGGGTACAGTTAGTGCACCTAATTCCAAGGGAGGTGGGTGTTCCCAGGCCTGGAGGGAGGGCCCACCTATTTCTTCTACCCTTGCCTTCTAGATGTCAGAATGGAAAATTCATGGAGTTCAGCTTAGCCCAGGTCAACAAACTTTTATTGCTGTTTTGGCTCCCCCGGCCCCAGTGAGGCCAGTGCAGGGGGGGCACTGGAGGGGTGCCACCTCTGTTCCTTGGACACTGCCACAGTCAAAACCCCATTTGGTGGAGAGGGGGGACTTCAAGGACATCCACGGCTCAGTCCCATGTATGCTGGCAGCAGAGAATAGAGACCCTGGTTCCAAACTTTTTTTCTAAAGGTGGGGGGTGGGGGGCAGGCGCTGCCTTTGGCCGCTAATGCACCCAGGCCTGTGCTGCCACATTTCCATGGAAACGAGGGAGGGACAGGGTGTAGTTCCTGCTGGCTACCTGGGGAAGGTCTGAGCAGGCGTTTGGTAAACAAATCCCCTTGCACTCGGCCCAACACATACAACTGTCCCCAGCCGACCCCCAAGCTCACTGCCCACTCCACCTCCTTCCTTTCTGGAGTTGGTTTCAGGCCAACTGTGTTCCGGGCAGGGGCTGCTGGGATGGAGACTGTACAGGCAGATGGAATCTGAGCATGTCCACAGGGCTCAGCAGTAGCTCTGTGAGAAGAGGCAGCTAGTACCCCCCTCCCTCCCTGCCATTACTCTGTGCACCTGCTGCTTCCCAAACAGCCCTGCCCAAACCCTAGGAGAAAACAGAAACCCAGATGCTTAAGGTTATAAGCAAGACATATAGCTCCGTAACAATGCTGAGGGCTAGGATGGGAGTGAGGGGTACAGCCTTCTGTGTCTGGAGCGGCCGTGCCCCCTGCCTTCTGGAACTTGCTTCTTTCCACAGGGCTATGCTGGAGGTGGGTGGGTGGGATCCACATCTCCCCTTGGTGCTGAGAGCTGTACCCAGTGCTGTGGGTAGGTGGATGAGGCTGGCCTGTCACCATGGCGAGCGGATTCTCAGTACCACGGGTCAGCCCGGTGCTGCTGGTTGTAGAGCTGAAGCTTGATCTGATCTTTGATCTGATTCACCAGAATCTGAGATAGCAGGATGCCCACCAGCTGGGGGAAGCAAGGAGAAATTGGGCCCCCAGCAGGGACTTCTTTGCTTTCCTGACAACACTGTGTGCCCCATCCCCTTCCCCCTCCGCCACTCCAGTCTGACATGCAACTGATCCCCAGGGGCCCTCTTCAACAGAAAGGTGGCCTTGCTAAGTGTGGAGTAAGTTACCTGGGGGATTGCCAGGCCCAGTGCCACGCCACCAAGCAAAAAAAGGTTGCTATGGATCCAGTTGACCAGCTTGTCAATACAGCCATTGGTGTAGATGACTTTACTAGCTTCCACATAGTCCAGGGCCTGCATACCTTGGCCACACATGGTGTTGATTACTGCCTGGAGAGAGAGTTGGAAAGCCACATGGGACTCCCATTCCAAAAACTTGGTCTCAGGTCCCAGTTCAGGGCTCCCCAGCCTTCTCACACTTATGTTGATAGAGAATACATGTGAAGGGCACTGGGTTGGAAGCTCTAAGTGCAGACTGCTTTCCTCTGAGAGGTCAGGTTCAGATCTTGCCCAGGTGGGCCCCAGGGGTGAAAGGTTACTGGAACCATCAGACAGGGGTTAAGAGAAATATCTGGGAGCTGTCCTACAAAATGGCTGGTTTAATGTTGGAAGGACGATCCCTACCAGCAGCTGTCCTAAACCAGAAATGGACTCAGATCACTGCCCAGGAGGAAAGGAGGGGGATAGTTACTCACCTGGTTGGGGGTGGGCAAGCAACAGGAGTAAGGCACAGAGCAGCGCTCACGGCTGGGGTTGTCTTCGGAACAGTTGAAGTACATGTTCAGGGACCAGTCCTTGTAAGAAATGCCCCCACAGCAGCTGAACTGCAACAGAGCCCACCCCCAGAGGTTACCGAGCACCCACGCCACCCCACACCATACACTGCAGTGACCAGTGGTACTGGCGGAGCAGTTGAAAACCTGTGGTCAGCTTCTCTTTGGAACGTCAGGCTGGGATGAACCACAACTTGAACCATGAACTCAGGCTTCCTACTGGCCTTCATCTGAAGACTTAATTTATTTTTTTTAAATTTCCACAACTTTCGATGCCTTGTTGAACGTGCCACTTGATTTTACTGCTGTACAGATATATATATTTGTTTTACACATTCAACTATGAATGCCTTTGAGGGCAGTTCCTTGGTTTGGCAGTGCTGCATAGCAGAGGTATTCAGATATATTGGCTGAAATAATGAAAAGATCAGTTCCCAAAGCCTTTGTCTCAAGACAGAGAAAACTCAAGAGGAGAATCTTCAGTATTGCAGGCCTGTCACGATTCCAGGGAAGCAAATAGGGACCCAAAGTGTCTGCTCACCAGGGGGAGCGGGACTCATCATGGGCCTCAAAAGCTTTCATTTAAAATTTAATTTTGGAATAGGTAATGTCTTGAAATCTGACTAGTCCATGTTTCTATAGACGACTACCATTTGTGGTTTCTTATGTATCCTTTCTGAGTCCTGACGTGGTGCTGCAGGACCACGTCAGGTCTCCGAAAGGATCCAGGTGCCGCTGGACCACAAGGTCGGTTAGTGGTTCAAACGCACCAGCCACTCTTTGGAACACTAACAACAATGTATCCTTTCAGATTCCTTTTGCAAACATTCTTTCCTTTTTTTAAAAAAATTTTAAAACACACTGTTGTTGTTAAATGCTGTCAAGTCAGTTCTGACTCATTAGCGACCCTTTGTCAGGGTTCCAGAGAGTGGCTGCTGAGTTTGACCCACTGACCTTGCAGCTCAAACTGACCTTGTAGTCCAGTGCTTATCCTACAGCACCATACCAGGACTACATATGAGGGGGCTTCAAGAAATCATGGAAAAATACCATGATCCCCTCATATACTATCTGTCCTTAAAAGTACTTTTAAAGCACTCTATTGCATTTTTTTTAGTTTTTATTTTTGCTAAACTCTCTTCCTAGAACCCATGTCCCAGCAGGTACTGCTGAGACCCCAGGCCTAGAGGCTGAGGCATCCCTTGAGACATTGTCAGCTTTTACCCACAGCCTCCCAGATCATTGGGGACCCAATCACCCTCTCCGTACCTTCTTCTGGCCAAAATCAATGAGGTTCTGCAGATCCAAGTCATCCCGATAGTGCACGATGGCATTGTTGATGATCTCGCTCACTTTTCCCCTGGCCTGCCAGAGACATAGGGGAGGGGGTCAGGGCAGAGGACCAACCCCGGACTTACTCCTCCTAGCAGAAACAACAGTGATCACCCATCTTTATGAACAGCTTTGAAATCAGAACCTAGCCCAGAAACTGGTCAGCTCTCAAAGCCATCTGTCCCTAGACCCTCAGGTCTCAGCTGGCAAGAGAGCTGTTGGGCGTGCTGTTGCCACTTCCCTTACGTAGCTCCTCTTCGTGGGCCCTAGAGGCCAGCTCTGAATCCGGTCGGTGGGGAGGATGTAGCTGGGGTTGGGGTTGGGATGAGAACCACATTTTAAGACAAGTCAACATTTACTCTATTGTATGCTGCAATGCGCAGATGACACAACCTTGCATGCAGAAAGCAAAGAGGACTTAAAATACTTTGGATGAAGATCAAAGACCACAGCCTTCAGTATGGACTGCACCTCAATATAAAGAGAACAAATATCCTCTCAGCTGGACCGATAAATAACATCACGATAAATGGAAAAAAGACTGAAATTGTCAGAGACTTAATTTTGCTTGAATCTACAATGAACACTCACGGAAGTAGCAGTCAAACTTTCAAATGATTTATTACACTAAGTAAATCTGCTGCACAAGACCTATTTAAAGTGTTCAAGAGTGAAAATATCAGTTTGAGGACTAAAGTGTGCCTGACCCAAGCCATGGTATTTTCAATTGCCTCCTATGCATGTAAAAGTCAGACACTGAAAAAGGAAGACCATAGAAGAATTGATGTATTTGAGTTATGGTGTTGGGGAAGAATATTGAAAGTACCATGGACTACCAGAAGACCAAACAAATCTGTGTTGGAAGAAGTACAGCCAGAACGCTCCTTAGAAGCCAGGATGGCCAGACTTCATTTCTCATACTTCAAACATATGAGGGACCATATGGAAGGAAGAAACAATGAAGTAAAAGAGCTGAATAGAAAATTTCAAAAGATGGCTCAAGAAGACAGAGTGCAGTAGTATATAATGAAGTATGCAAAGATCTGGAGTTAGAAAACCAAAGGAAAAAAATATGATCAGCATTTCTCAATCAGAAAGAACTTAAAAAATTCAAGCCTTGACTTGCAAAATATTTAATGACATAGGAAGCATCAAATAAAGATGGAAAGAATACTCAGAGTGACTGTACCAAAAATACCTCATCAATGATCAGTCATTTCAGGAGGTAGCATATGATCACGAAGTCCAAGTTGCACTGAAGGCATTGGCAAAAAACAAGATAACTGGAATTGATGGAGTGTAAATGAAATGTTTCAACAAACTACTGTAGCTCAGGAGTTTTGGTGTAGAGCTGTAGGATAAGCACTGGACTGCTAACTGCAAGGTCAGCAGATCAAACTCACCAGCCGCTCCTTAGAAACCCTATACAGGGCTGCTCTGAGTTAGAACCAACTCGATGGCACTTAACAACAACAACGCAGCTCTGGAAGCAAACTGAAAGACAGTTACCTGGTCAATTGATTGGAAGAGACCCATATTTGTGCCCGTTCCAAACAGAGGTGACCCGACTGAATGAGGAAATCATTGAACAATATCGTAAATATTGTTGTTGGTGTTTTTAAGTGCCATCAAGTCGGTTCCAACTCATAGCAACCCTGTATGGAGTTTCTGAGAAGTTGCTGCTGGTGGGTTTGAATTGCCGACTTTGAGGCTCAAACTGACCTTACAGTCCACTGCTTCATCCTACAGTGCCACACCAGGACTAACCATTAATACTACATGAAGGAAACTTTTATTGAAGATGATTCAGAAACAGTTGCACCAGTATATAGACAGGGAGCTGCCAGGAATTCAAGTCAGATTCAGAAGAGGATGTGGAATGAGGGATATCATTGCTGATGCCAAATCGATCTTGCCTGAAAGCAGAGAATACCAGAAAGATGTTTATCTGTGTTTTACTGACTATGCAAAAGCATTCAACTGTGTGGATCACAATAAACTACTGATAACATTGTAAAGAGTGGGAATTCCAGAACACTTGATTTTGCTCATGAGGAATCTGTACATAGGCCAAGAGGCAGTCATTTAAACAGAACAAGGAGATACTACTTGGTTTACAATCAGGATTATATTCTTTTACCACACTTTATCCTTTGTGATTGTATCCTTTCACCATACTTATTTAATCTGTATGCTAAACAAATAATCTGAAAACTGGATTATATGAAGAAGAATGTGGCATCAGAACTGGAGGAAGACTCATTAACAACCTGCGATATGCAGATGACACAACCCTGCTTGCTGAAAGCTAAGAGAACTTACTGGTAAAGATCAACTTAAAATATTTACTGGTAAAGATCAAGTCTTCAGTATGGATTGCATATCGGTGTAAAGAAAACAAAACTCTTCACAACTGGACAAATAAACAACATCATATAATATACAGAGAAATTATGGAAGTTATCAAAGATTTCATTTTGCTTGGATCTACAGTAAATGTTCATGAAGCAGCAGTCAAGAATTCAAATGATGAATTATATTGGGTAAATCTGCTGCACAAGACCTCTTTAAGTGTTAAACAGTCATGATATTTTCAGTCACCTCATATGCATATGAAAACTGGACAATGAGTAAGGAAGACCAGACTAATCTGACGAATTTGAATTGTGGTGCTGACAATGAATATTGAAAGTACCATGGATTGCCAGAAGAACAAATAAATCTGTCTTGAAAGAAGTACAGCCAAAATCCTCCTTAGAAGCCAGGATGGAGAGACTTTGCCTCATGTATTCTGAACATGTTATCTGGAGGAACGAGACCCTGGAAAAGGACATCATGCTTGGTAAAGTGGAGGGGCACTGGAAAGGAAGAAGAGCCCCAATGAGATGGCTTGACACAGTGACTGCAACACGGGGCTCAAACGTAACACTCACTGTGAGGATAGTGCAGGACCGGGCAGGGTTGCACAGGGTCACTATGAGTCACAACCAGCTCTAAGGCGCCGAACAACAACAGATGCATGCTAAAACTGGACAAAAGTAAGACGGAGCAAAACCAGATGCCTCTGAATGATGGTGTTGGCAGAGAACAGTGATATACCATGGGCTGCCAGAACAATGAACAAATCTGTTTTGGAAGAAATACATTCAGAATGCTCCTTAAAAGCAAAGATGGAGAGACTGTCTCCTGTACATCAGAGGGCTCAGTTACTGGAGAAGGCCATCATACTTGGTAAAGTAGTAGTTGTTTAGTGCCATTGAGTCAGTTCTGACTCCTAACAAGCCAGTATAGAGTTTGTGGGTCTGGACCACTGACCTTGCAGCTAGCAGTCCAGTGCTTATCCTACAGCATCACACCAGGACTTCTGGTAGAGTCAGCACAACAGAAGACCTTCAATGAGATGGACTGACACGTGTCTGCTACTATGAGTTCACACATAACAAGGATTGTGAGGGGGGACAGGACAGGGCAGTATTCCCGTTAGTTGCATACAGGGTGATAAGGAGTTAAAACCAACTGTGTGGATCACAATAAACTACTGATAACATTGTGTGACAGCACCAGCAACAATAGACCAAGGTGCCCCGGTGGTGCAATGGTTAAATGCTCACCAGCCAACCAATCAATAGAGGCTTCAGAAGGGAAAAGATCTGGCAATCTGCTCCTCTAAAGACCACTACCTAGGAGACCTTCTGGGGCAGTTCTACCCAGGGTTGCTAAGAGTCAGAATCGATTCAATGGCACATGAAAACAATATTGTTAAGTGTCGTCAAGTTGGTACTGACTTATCACAACCCAACATACGGTTTCAGAGGAGCGGCTGGTGGGTTTGAACTGCAAACCTTGAGGCTAGCAGTCCACTGCTTATCCTATTACTCTAGTCCATCTCTACCCAGTATAACCACAAAATGTTATGTTGATTGGTGCAAAGCAGAGAAACTAAGCTTTAGAAGAATGAGAATTACTTTGTGGAGGCACTGACCTCTAGTGGGCACACACAGAATTGCATCTCTTTCGACAAAACTGATCTGCCGGATCCTTTTAGGATTTCGCTAACCCGGAGGACTAGGAAATTCTGCATTACCAAAGTGGCTGTCCCTTTCATAGTTGTCTGCTTGCTCTCTTCCATCCTGCTTCACTGCTTTTTCAAAGGTTCCTAACCTCTGCACCTGACAATGATCTGCCCTTTGGGACAGGACTTCTGGATCTTAGTCACAAGGATGCCACTGAACCACTGAACAATGGACTTCTGACAGTAAACACTATTCAGAATCACAGCTCCTTTCTCCACTCCCTCCCCTCTGTTTACCCTAATATACAAATGTTTTCCCCAATAAACAATTTGATAAAAATAAGTTCTTCATGTTGTCTGTGGTTGGGTTGGTAATTGAATTTTGGTCATTTGATATTGAAGTTTGTGGATAATTTTAACTTGGTGTTTGTTCATAGAGTTTATTTCCTTGTTGACTGTCCCAGGAAAGCCCCTTATGATCTTGAAATCCTCTTCAAATATGGTGACTTTCAAAGCCATTCAGAACTCCCTAAGGAGAACCTTTGGAAGCTGCACGCTTCTCAGGGCAAGACTGCTGGGGTTAATTAACAGCTAAATGTAGACAGGAACCATCCCTTCCTCCACTGGGTCCAACCCTGAGGGGCCCTCTTGGCTCCCAGGTGATACCTTGTCTGAGAAGACGAAGCCCAGGACACCAGCAGCCAGCTGAAGCAGGAACACAACGGTGAGACAGAGGGAGAACTGCGGGAGGAGGCCAGAGGAGGGGATGGTTACCATCTGGAGCACCCCTCCCAGGGCTGCCGAGAGGGCAGGGGGACCCCCACGCGGAAAAGGCCACTTGCTGCCTCTGAGCCACTGCCCGGGTTGTCACCCTGTGCCAGGGTCACCGTGACTGAGCTTGGCAGTGAAGTTATGGGGGAGGGCCGGAGGAAAAGCTAAGGTTGTAGGAACGGCACCCGTCAGTCCACCGGGGCCCCTGACCACTCACCGTCTGCAGAAGGCAGATGTTCTCGCGGAGGGATCCAATGCAGCCACAGAAGGTGAGTAGGAACATGAGGACGCCCACCACAATCAGCAGGATGGCAGGGTCCACCGCCAGGCAGGCCAAGGCTGCTTCTGGGGGAGGGGCCGCCCCTGGGTTTGAGCCTGGAGCCTACTGAGGGGACCCCAAGAGGGCAAGAACTGGCAGGGGAAACCCTAGTCCAGCTGGGTGAAGAGTACAGGGAATTAAGTGTCCCCTCCAACCGGGAGAGCAAAAACGGGCTCCGAAGAGTTGGTGGCATTTCACGTGAGTAATTAAGGTAGTAGAAGCCTTCATCCCCTGGGTTTACGAAAAGAGGGGTGCTTTCGCTCCAGACAAGATTTAGAGAGGCATTTGACTTCCTGACTCTGCAGGTTCCATTTCCGGAGACCGTGTGCAGGCCGGGAAGTGGGATTCCTCTAGAACAGAACTGGAGCTGGGGAGGGCTAAAGTCTTTGAATGTTTGCACCCAGAGGCTGCCTTCTTTCTCAGAGGCCTCAGGAGCCTAACTCAAGTAGGCATTTCTCCCAAGATTCCCAGGGACTTAGGGAATCCCTGCGATTAGCCCCAGAACTTGCCTAAAATGTTTGAGGGCCAGGGCTAAGGGAGGTGGGCCAGGCAGGGACATGGAAGGTGGGAGGGACTTTTAGCTCACCTGCATGCTTCATCAGGCGAGCATAGACACCCACGGCCACCATCACCATGGAAATCACCTGTACAGGCAGGAAAAGGGCCAAGCTGTGAGTTGGGAAGCTAGTTCTGAGTCACCCTGAGGGAGAGTAGCAGAAGGTGACATCCCAATGTCCCAGAAGCAGTAGCTGTGTGGACTGACAGATCTCATCTGGTCCTCATATGACATCCCCATTTCACAGACAGAAACGAAGGCAACACAAGGCTAATACCCAAACATGTCAGTTAAGGGGGCTTGGGAGTGAGTGACACTGGGCCGAGTTTCTGAGTCTAAGTATCTGAAGATGGGAATGAAACAAAACAAAAGCCCTTCATCTCATGAGATTAGCATGAGAATGACCTAAAATTATGCACAGTGCCTGAGAGCAGACACACACACACTATCATTTCATGTGATTAATTTGTCCAGGGACACAGAGAAACTCTGGGAAGTTCTGAGCCTGAGTCCAGCTCCATCAAAGGGCAAATCTTACAGCTAAAGTAGGCCTGAGGAGATGGCACACTCCCAGTGCTCTCCGCCTTTAGGAAGTCAGCATGTGTCAAGTGCAAGAGAAAAAGTGTGTGTGCACGCGCGTGTGTGCGTAAGAGACTAGACCCGCCTCACTGTGATGGCCAGAGGAGATGATTCTCTATGACCCTACCAACTTCTGGCATCTCCTCGAGAGAACAAACCCAGGTTGGCAGTTCAAGCTCATCAGTGGCTCTTCAGAAACCCTATACAGGGTTGCTATGGGTCAGAACCGACTCGACAGCACTTACCAAAAACAGTGTTGTTGTTAAGTGCCTTCCAGTCAGTTCCAACTCTTAGAGACCCTCTATAGCATGAGGAGTGATTGCTGAGTTTAAACTGCTGACCTTGCAGTTCAAACTGACCTTGTAGTCCAGAGTTTATCCTACAGTGTCACACCAGGACTCCAGAAATGCAGAGCAGTCCTGTTGCCCACCTCTCTCCCCCAACCCTTCTTTGTGCCCAGGGCCCCAGGCTGGTGCTAAGCAGCAGCTGGCCGTCGCCATGGCAATAGCTGAGGCCAAGCTCTAGCTGAAGGGAGTTTTCAGCAGCAGGGACTCTAGCAGCTCAGGGGAAGGAGGAGGTTGGCTAGACCCCAGGATCCTGCAAGACACACCCAACTGAAAAGAGCTTGGTGGGAGAAGGAAGCTGAACCACTATGCAAGTCAGACTAGTCTCTTAGTTTTGGTGTGGCGTGTAGAATAAGCACTGGACTGTGAGGTCGGTATGAACTGCAAGGTCGGTAGTTCAAACTCACCAAACACTCCTTGGAAACCTTATACCGGCAGGATCGCTATGAGCTGGAAGCGACTCACCAGCACTTAACATCCATAACAGTCTCTTAGGAGGAGTCTCGAGGGGGTGTAGATGATGAACAAACCAAATGGTTGGTGGTCAAATCCATCCAAAGGCACCTTGGAAGAACAGTCTATTGCTCTAATTCTAAATAATCAGCTACTGAAACCCTATGGAACATAAATCTACTTTGATAAACACGGGTCGTTATGAGTTACAATTGACTTAATGACAACTGTACTGATAGTCACTTTAAAAAAACAACAAAGAAAACTGACATCCACTGCTGTTGAGTCCACTGCAACTCACAGTGACTCTGAAGGACAGAGAACCATCCGAAAGGCTTTCCAAGGCTGTAACTGTCATGGAAGCAGACTGCCAGATGATCTTTCGCTTGTGGAGTGGCTGGTGGGTTGGAACTGTTGGTCTTTCGGTTAGCAACCTAGGGCTTAACCATTTTATCACCAGGGCTCCTAGTCACTTAGTATAAAGGACTTCCTTTAGGCACAGCCTCTGCCATCTGGCAGAGATGGGGAGACATTCAACAGTAGGGGAAGCCACGTCTTTCAAGCCCTCTTGCCTGGTCCCCATCCCTTGCCTCAGACTCAGGGCCAGGTGTGTTGTCTGCCTCCTCTCCCCTTTCTGTCCAAGGAGCTGTTTGTGAGGGTGCATGGGAAGGTGCCACAGTACACCCAGGCTTGGGGAACACAAGGAGGAGGTGGGGACACAACCCGACAGAGATCACAGTTATGGCCAGTCCTGAAGGCACATGGCCCTTGGCCAGTTACTGCTCTGAGTATCATTTTATGGAATAATCATTGGAAAATACACGTCTGCTCTTTATTTCTGTTGCTCCCAGGCTCCTCACTGTGTTTTCACCTGGTAAATTTTAACTAGGGTATAAAACTTTCCACAAAGATGGTCTCTGAATAAATCCTCACAGCTGAAGCAAGTAAGGGAAAGTAAGGAGAGGTCGCCTATTGCAGGGTAGCTGACTTCCAGTTATGGGCTTGTAATAGAAGGAATGAGGAAGTAAAAGAGCTGGACAGAAAATTTTAAAGAGCAGCTTGCGAAGACCAAGTATTATAATGATATGTGCAAAGACAAAGAGTTAGAAAACCAAAAGGGAAGAACACACTCAGCATTTCTCAATCTGAAAGAACTGGAGAGTGAGAGAGAGAAAAAAAAATCAAGCCTTAGCTTGCAATATTGAAGCAAAATACTGAATGATGCAGAAAGCATCAAAAGAAGATGGAAGAATACACAGAGTCACTGTACCAAAAAGAACTGGATGATGTTCAACCATTTCAAGAGATAGCATGTGATCAAGACCCTGGTCATATGCTGAAGGAAGAAGTCCAAGGTGCACTGACGGCACTGGCAAAGAACAAGGCTCTGGGAATTGATGGGAATTGAAATCTTTCAACAAACTAATGCAGTACTGGAGGCACTTATCATCTATACCAACAAATTCGGAAGACAGCTACCTGGCCAACTACTTGGACGAGATCCGTATCTGTGCCCATCCCAAAGAGAGGTGACCCAACGGAATGCAGAAATCATCGGGCAATATCATTAATATATGGAAGTAAAATTTTGCTAAAGATAATTTTAAAACAGCTGCAACAGTACATTGACAAGTAACTACCAGAGGTTCAAGCTGGATTCAGATGAGGACATACATGGAATAAGAGATCTCATTGCTGGATGGATCTTGGCTGAAAGCAGAGAATACTGGAAAGACATGTAACTGTACTTTATTGACTGTGCAAACGCTTTCCACTGTGTGGATCATGACAAGTTATGGACAACACTGTGGAGAACACCTCATTGTGCTCATGTTGTTGTTGTTGTTAAGTGCCGTCGAGTCGGTTCTGACCCATAGCGACCCTATATAGGGTTCCCAATGAGTAGCTAGTGAGCTTGTACCACTGACCTTGCAGTTCAAATGGCTTTGCAGACTGACCCATCAATCCACACTGCCACACCAGGAACCTGTATATAGACCAAGAGACAGTCATTTGACCAGAACAAGGGGACACTGAATGGTTTAAAATTATGAAAGGTGTGCTCCAGGGCTGTACTCTTAGCAGATTTATTCAATCTGTGTGCTGAGCAAATAATTTGAGAAGCTGGAGTATATGAGGAAGAATATGGATCAGGATCGGGGGAAGACTCTTTAACAACTTGTGAAATGCAGATGATATAACCTTGATTGCTGGAAAGTGAAGAGGACTTAAAATATTGTGGTTACGAATTGGGCTGCGAACCTTAAGGTCAGCGGTTCGAAACTACCAGCCGCTCTGTGGGAGAAAGATGAGGCTTTCTACTCCCATAAAGATTTACACCCTCGGAAACCCTGTACAGGGTCGCTATGGGTCGGAACCGACTCGACGGCACTTAACAACAACAACAACAACATGAAGATCAAAGACCACAACCTTCAGTATGGGTTGTACCTCAATGTAAAGAAAACAACAATCCTTACTACTGGACCAATAAATAACATCCATATAAATGGAGAAAAGATTGACATTGCTTGGATTCATTATCAAACTCATGGGAGCATCAGTCAAGAAATCAAACATTATATTGCATTAGACAAATCTACTGCTCAAGACCTCTTTAAAGTATTCAAGAGTAAAGACGTCAGTTTGAGGTGAGCCTGATCCAAGCCGTGGTATTTTCAATAGCCTCATTTGCATGTGAAAATAAGCTAGACCACAAAAAATTTGATGCATTTGAGTTATAGTGTTGGAGAAAAATATTAAAAGTATCATGGACTTCCAAAAAAAAACAACCAAATCTGTGTTGGAAGAAGTACAGTCAGAATGCTCCTTAGAAGCTAGGATGACCAGACTTTGTCTCTCATACTTTGGACATAGTATCAGGAGAGACCAGTTCCTGGAGACGGACATCATGCTTGGTAAAGTGGAAGGTCAGTGAAAAAGAGCAAGAACCCCAACGAGATGGACTGGCACAGTGACATCAGCAATGGGCTCAGGTGTAGCAATGATTGTGAGGATGGTACAGGATCGGGCAGGGTTTGTTCTGTTGTGCATAAGATCGCTGTGAGTCAGAACCTACTGGACAGCACCTAACAACAACAACGAAACAGATAGGAGCTTTGGTGACACAGTAATTAAGTACTTGGCTACTAACCAAAAGGCTAGAGTTTCAAATGTATGAGTTGCTCCGCAGGAGAAAGATGAGGCAGTCTGCATCTGGAAAGATTGCAGCCTTGGAAACAGTATGTTGTTGTTAAGTACCATAGAGTCGGTTCCGACTCATAGTGACCCTGTACAGGGTTTCCAAGGCTGTAAATCTTTATGGTAGCAGAAAGCCTCATCTTTCTTCTGCGGAACAGCTGGGAGTTTCGAACTGCCAACCTTGAGGTTAGCAGCCCGATGCATAACCACTACGCCACCAGAGCTCCTTCACATCTCCTAGAATGCATCAAATATCCTCTTTGTACTTTATCTTTCTCCTAATGATCTTCTGTTTCCAACATAGAACACACCAACATTCTAGATTGCCTGACCATCACAAATCTCATCTCCAGAGTTAAAAGAAGAACAATTAAGCTAGTGAGTTTGAAATGCCTGCCTTATGATTTGTTGTTGTTGTTATGTACCGTCGAGTCGGTTCCAACTCATAGTGCCCCGTACAGGGTTTCCAAGACTGTAAATCTTTACGGGAGCAGAAAGCCTCATCTTTCTC